AAGCCGCGGCGGAGCGACAGCAACGTTGGCGAGGGGCTGGGCAAAAGTATAGTCGCACACCGCTGGCGTAGTCGTGTTCCAGTGGTAGCCGGGAGTCAACATCCACAACTGTTTCGACTCTAACCGCTTGAACTTGTTTTCCTTACCTGTGACCGAACGAGCAGCAAAGGACGAAGGCGTGAGCGTTGTTTGCTCCACTCAACGCACTCAATGATGGAGAGAAAGATGAGATAGCCAACCTACAACCCAGTTGGCGTGTATCTGCACCGGTTGGAAGTGGTTGACCGAGACCGCCTGGTGCCAGTACAGACCGCCATTGATGAACAACTCCCGATTTAGATAGTGCCCTGGGGGTGTGTCTGTTAGTGGAACATTTGCAATAACCACTACGCTGAGAGAAAGGTGAGAGTAGGGAAGGGAGGTGTGACAAGCGCACTTTCCAAAAGTCTGCTGTTGGCGTTGAAGAGCTTCTGTTCGGTGTTACGCTCGGCGTAGGGCCTCGTCCGAGTCTGTTGTTCGTTGTTTGTTGTTTGTTGTTTGGGGGGGGGGTTATGCTGGTGTCCAAGAAATTGCGACAAGGGACGGCAACGAACCCGCAGTGAGTGTTCTACTCGGACAACCTCCCACAGCTTCAAGAGCGCTGGCGTTGGATTCAGGAATATGAACCCCATACATGAAACGGGTGGGCCAACCAGGCCTGTTTGGCGCGACACAGCTGCTATTAGGGGCTGCGGAGACCAGATACGCCAACGAATGTGGATATGTACCGTCGTGTTGAGTGTGTATGTCGGCGGGAGAATGGATATCTATAAAGTCGAATGGATTCGCTAACCACACTTGATCCACGTCGAAGAGAAGCACTCGGTAGCCGAGCTGGAGCAGGTGCTTAATGTAGAGGAGCCTGTGTGTGTGCACAAACCACTCCCTCCGTTAGTGTTGTTATAACCTCCAAGCAAACTACAGGCAGCAAAGCTGTACATACCGTAAGTGCATGAGCCCTTGGTAGGCAGTCGTCCCATATCGCAAGAACTGGTTGGCTCCAAAAGCGCGTCCTGCCATAAACACAACCGGTTCCTGAGCGTATCGTTGTTCAGTTGTAAAGCACTGATGCACGAACAACACAATCAGGACCACGAGAAGAGAGAGAGAGAGATGTACGTTTGCTGCCTTGAGCGAGGTGTAGGTGTTAACGTCGCCGGCAAGAATGACGTAGTTCGAAAAGTTGAAACGCCTCACAGAGCAGATCCAGTTGTAGGTAAAGTCCAGCATCCCTTGACTCACCTAGTCATCGTCGTGCCAAAGGGTGGCGTGTCAAGCCAAGGGTGCTATCGAGTAGTTACAAATCGCAGAGAGCACCACTTTAGAAAATCGCGGGATGAGGCGCCATGTACGAGGGAAACGGCGATGACCTTCTCGCCCTTGATGCTTCGCTGGTTGACAAGCTCCATCATTTCGATCACGTCGCTGCTCTTCGCTGCCTCGCAGAGGTGAGGGAATATTCAGGTAAGGCAAGTGACACTTGTATACGACGGGATAGGAGAGCGGTCTCTGTATGTATGGATAGATTGTGTGTGGTGCGTGTGTGCGTGCGTGGTGCGCCAGTGAGGCACTGATATAGCACGAGTAAGGAAGCAAGGTGTACGATCTACGGCGCTGGGGAAGTCGTCTTGCTCGTTGAGCAGGGGCGCTAGCTCCGCCAGCAAGTCTGAAGGGTCCAATTCCTCGGGGGAGCTCTGCACGGTTCGCCGGGCAGCACTTGCCCCAGCCACCGGTGGTTCGTTGGTTGTAGGTGGCTGACGTGGCGTCGGCGGCAGCCGGTGAGAGAAGGGAGAGGGCGACAGTCGGAGATGGCTGGAGGGACGAGGCCGTTCCTCCCGGCTTAATGGCTTTGATGGTTGGGCCTCCGCAACGGCCACATTCTTTGGTGGGAGGTGGTCTGTGCACAGGAAACACAGACAGATTAGTAATCCACATCTTTCCTAAAGGAAAAGGAGGGTGGCGGAGGCTCACTGGTGAGTGTGAAAAAGGAGAAGTTGAGCCAGGCGCTCAGCAGTATGCCGAGGCCCAGGAGCACCAGCCTCTTCCTCACGCCCCTCATGCGGGGTGCCAAGCGTTTTTCTCTTTTTTCTTTTCTTTTCCTGGAAATATTTTTTGTTTGTTTGTTCCTGCCGAACACGTTCACCACTTGGTGCGGCCAAAGTTCTCGATCGTGCGCGACAGAGACTTGATCTCGACCTCGTACTGGTCGGCTTTGGCCCTCCACTGGGCCTCCTTGCTGGCCATCTGCTCCGACAAGGCGGTCACCTCCTTCTCCCTGCTGCGTAGCTCCTGCTTGAGCCGCTTGATCTCGTTCTTGTCGTTGATGGCTCGCTCCACCTCCTCCAGCTTCTCCTTCTCCTTGTTGATCTGCATGTCGATCCGCTGCACTTTCTCCTTCTCGATGTCCTTCTTGAGCTGCTTGGCCTCTCGGTCCTTGTCGCGCAGCGCCTGCTCGAGGCGCTCCACCTGCTCGCCGAGAGCGGTCAGCTCTTCGTCCTTCCTCTCCAGCAGGTCTCGCAGCTCGGCCACTCCTTTCCTCAGTTCCTGATTCTCGCCTTCCAGCTTCTTCCTGTCCAGCGCCGCCCTGTCCGCCGAGCTTGTATCCACGCTGTCACTGCCATCACCGCCGCCGTCCTCCGCTTCCTGCGGCCCCTTCTCTCCGGCGGCGTCGCTTTGCTGGTCGTCCAGGGCGATCCCCATGTCGGACATGATGCTGGCGACGTTG